AAACACTCGCTAGGTGGTCTTAGAGCAACTCCAGCCTTCGTTTTTGGACGGGGGACGGGCTGCAGGAAGGGGCCCGAGGGCCTGTTGATTCTTCTCCAACCATGGAGGGCCCGAGTGAGAGTGGGAGCCCGAGCACAAGGGGGGTGGATAGTTGACAGGCCTGCAGCCCGAGGGCCAAGGCATTTTGTTTATTGTTTTTTGTGTCAGCCCGAGGCCCTACAGCCCCATTTCCCTGTTTTTTTTATTTTATATTATTTAAACAAACAAAAAAAACTACTATTTTATTACCTATTGCCAGGGGGAGGGCTCCAAGGGTGGAGATGCAAAAGGTAATTACTGTTCATTAATGGTAGTTACTATTCATTAAAGACAGTTACTGTTCAATAGGGTGGATTCAATAGTGGATTGCCGGGGGATGGCTCCAAGGGTGGAGTTGCTCTTAGTGAGACCCCTCGAGAAGGAGCGGACTGCTAAGACCCCCTCATCTTTGATTCGCCCCTACCCAGTCCCCATTTTTCTCTTTCTTTATGTATTTCCTCTCTCTTTGATTGAAGCTTCAAACATTCATGGTGGCTGGGTTGCTTCGCATCATTGATCAGAGATACTGACCCAGATTCTTCCACCACCGACATCAGCCATGGTGGCTGGACAACAACAACCTTGTTGCTCATGGTGACCCAGATTCTTCTGTCGACAACATCATTGCTAAGAGATTGTGACCTGAGATTTTGAAATTAAAAAGTTTTGGGTGCAAAGGGTTGGGTTGGAAACATAGTTAGGGAAATTTTGTGCAAAGGATTGGTGCAAGATTGAAAACTTTAGCATCGGGTAAAGTGAATTTGAGTGATTTTTCTTGCACAACTATGATTTGTCCAGAAAATATAGGTACCAAATATGAAGAAAATAGAAAAATAAATAAAAGGGGAGGGAGGGGAGAGGGGACACTGGTACATAAGTAAAACCGGAGAAAAAATTGAGGGAAAGGAGACTGGTACAAAGAAAAGGAGGGACAAAAATGGGAGAAAAGGAGAATGGGGAGGGAGTGGTGGAGAAAAAGATGAATGAAGAGATTTTTTTTTGGTAGAAACTGGGATTGAAAGCCAGGGCAAAGATGCCAGAACGAACACAGAAGCCTACATCGAGGCAAGCTAAAACAAACCAACAGAAACCAAAGCAGAGGGCAAAGATGAATGAAGAGATTGGAGAGGAAGATGGTTCTAGAAAAATAGGGAAAAAGATAAAGTAATACAAAATATTAATTGATATATTAAATTAAAAATAAAATATTAATAAATATAGATTAAATAATATAATATTATAGTCCTGCTTCTTAGTCCGACAATGCATCAAATGCTTTACTAAATCAGTCCAGTTTAGTTTAATCTAAGTCAGTCTAGCTTAATCCCTGAAGTTAGCCCAGTCCGAGACAGTCTGGTGCAACAAACGCACCCTAAATGTATACGAATACTCAAGTTAGAAGTTATGCCTTGAGTCGAACGATCGTCTTGTTCTTACAACCTTCGAGCGAGGAACAATGAAGACACATGTACAAGCTAGACCTTCATGCACAGGTTTGGGACATAGGGTGGAGAGTTGGCTACTTAGAGTGGCTTCCAAGAGTTTCCTCTTTAAGTCCCCGCCTCCACCTTGGTGAACCGAGTGTTTTAAGAAAACTTTGTGACGGAGAATAAATTCCCAAGAGGAATTTCGGCTGGCTAGTGTGAGGCTGCTATTTTATGATGCCTTTAACCCTTCCGCAAGACCTTTATTTATAAGGAACACTTATGAAAATGGCTTGAAAACTTTGAGTTTTAACCAAAAGGACAAAAATGTGTTGTAAGTGAATAGTATCAGGAGTGAATTTTTAGTGTAAAAATGTCATTAACGTTAAAAGTGAACAGTATCATGAGTGTTTCATTAAGACTCCCCGATTTATAGTGGTCATGCTACGGTTTAGGATGGAGCATCTTAGGTTAGATCAAGTCTACCATACCAAGCATATTTCTCATTTATCATTATTAATATGTAAATTAATAATGTCTTCATAATCCATCTCCTATTTGAGTGGATTATTGTTTTACTTAGTCAACAAAACTAACAAATCCCAAACATTAGTTATTTTGTGTAGCCTAAATTATCCACTGATTATATTGTGATTCCATTGTATTTGCTTGGTGACTAAGATTGGATTAAGATTGGAGTTCAGCACAAGCCAATCCTATTATGTCTAACCCTTCTAACAACACTTGAGAGACATAATATATTGGACTCCTTTCCAATTTAATAAGCTCAGTTCCAACATTTACAAGTTCACCAAAAAGCGACTAATATATTAGTCTAATTCAACTAAGACAATTCAATTCAGGTCGAGTCATCAGACGAGACCTTAGTTCCTTTTCACATGCCTTTTGGATTTTGTTAAGTTCCTTTCATGCCAAGCAAACTATTACTTGTCACTATACTTATGGAAAACTAGTCTCAAATATTGATTATTTTATAAATTGAAAACAAAAGAGAACTACAAATCCCCTTTGGTGGGTTTGAATATTTTAGAAATTAGAACATTGAGCTAATCCCTTTAAGAGAAGAAGTTGTCCCACCCCATCTTTTGAGCATTTGTTTTTTGGCTCTTTTTCTAGGTGTAATGCACCGTCCTAGTCCTAGTCCAAGTTCATGCATGAACCACTCACTAAGTCACCACCATCCTCCTCACTAAAGCAACTTTTTGTCCAACTTGTTATCGCATGCTTATCTATGCTTTGAGTCTTGGACACTTGGGTTATTAGGTTGTCCTTGTCACCCCCATCTGTTTCCCCATCTTTTTTTTGCATTATTAATCTTTGTGTATCAAAGTTGATCACCTAAAACCTAAGTGTTTTGTATTTTCTGGTTAGGGCACGAGTTCGAAAACCCCGACAAATTTGGAGGTAAGTTGGAAATAACCTAACTTGTAATTGTCAAGGCGGCACATGCTCGCTTTGTTATCAGACAAATCCTAAACGTAAAATTGGAGATGCATTAGAAAGTAAAGTTATCGCATATATATTTTAGTGAAGTATGTTTTCACGTACATTTTTAAGATTATGGGGTGCAAAATTAGTATATGAATTTCTTGAAAGCGAATCTCGTCTAAGAGTTCCCTATCTTGCCTTCCGTACAATTATTAAAACATAAATATTATTTCAATTCGTGATTTTCCTAACTCCAAATAAATGAATATCATAAGAGTCACATTTAAAGCAACATTACGTTGAATTTTATAAACAATGAACATAATTTTCAAGACATCTATTCTATAATACGTGGAAATATTAAGTACTGCTACTTAGAGTCATTAGATTCAATTCAACGTTAGTAAAAAGAAATTAGACAACCATTAAATCGGATTTAAGGACTCTAAGTAGTATTTCAGACATTTATTTTTACTTTTTATATATTTTTGTTAATTTTTTAATTGATAATATTCTTTAATTTATTTCATCCGATAATTAAAATTAAAAAAAATATGTGATAAGTAAAAATAAGCGGATAACTATCACTATCCGTCAGAGTATTGTAGCCTTGCTCCCAGAATCCAAATCTCACCGAATTACCTCACGTCATTCACAATTAAGAAAAAGGGCCCAAAAGATGTGCAACATCAGCATCAATGGCTTCTTTCAAGACCTGCCAAAAGCTTCCATGTGATGCGCAGAAAGGTTATTTCACACGAGTCATATAAAATAAAACCAACTCCTTTTTTTCTTTTTTCTTTTCTTGTGGTCATTAAACAATCACATTAATTACTTGACCAAGAAAAAAGAAACAATCGCATTAATTATTAAATTAGACTAATCCTGCTTTAATACATGTCAAATGCAGCATGAAAGCAAATATAATATTTAAATAATTAAATAAAAATAGAATAAAATCATGGTTTTCTCTGCACTTTGACAAACAGATTGACAATTGACTAGCAGAATTGCAGCTACTGCAATTAATCATGTATAATATTTTTTTTTGTTAAACGATAAATTTTATTAAATTAAATATCAAATTAGTTATTGATGAAATTCGAATGTGCTTGTTATACAAATAATTTAACAGGTTTTCATCATTGTGGTAAAAATAAAAAATAAAAACAATGGTGTAATAAATAAATAAAAAGTCTACGTGTCATCTATCATCAAGTATCTTTTGTGTGTCAGAACAAACTCAGTGTCAGAGCAATATATGAGAGAGGAGGGTGAGTAAGCAAAACATCACCATACCACTCACACCCCAAAATCTCTCTCAAAGCTTCGAACTTTAAGCTCTTGATCCCAACCCATTTCCCAAGGGGACCGTTTCCACCGTTCCTCGCCGGAAAAAGCTGACTTGGGTCGCCGGAGAGTTGGCTCACCATGGACGCTGACTTGTGGGCTTCCAGGGTTCATACAGCTAAGAGCTTTTCTGCTGTTCATGCTGCTCGCCTTCACTATGGTACTTCAATTTTCTGTTTTTGCTTCAACATTTTGTTTTGAGTAAAATTTAGTAGTCCTTTTCCTTTCACCGTATTTTAAATTTGGTCCTGAACTAAAAATCCGTTAATTGAGGTCCTTAAATTTAATAAAACTTGCACCGATTGAGTTTTTTTTATTTTTTATTTTTTATTTTTTATTTTTTATTTTTTATGTTTGAGTAAAGCAATGCTTGTGTGAGAGATTTCTAGAACTGGGTTGGGATTAAAGGTTAAAACTTTGGTTGGATTTAAGAAAGAAATTGGCACATTGTTTTTTACTAATTGTTTTGTTAAACCCTGGTTTAAATGATCTATTTTTGCTTGAATTTTGAAGCGGATAATGTTTTATCCTGAAATATAAATATGGGAAAATATCACATTTTAATAAAATAAAAAAGTCCGGAAAATCTGAGATTTTCCATATCTCGTATGATGCTAGATTGGTAATTTTATCAAGTTTCCTAGATTTGTTCATAAAAGCTTTCCCTGTTTGTAATATTGCAGTAGGGACTTAGGGTTGCCTGTTTGTGTGATTATTTGGGCCCCTCAATTTCTGATTGAATTAGGGTTTGGCATAGGCCACATGGAAATTAAGAAGCTTTGATTAATTAGGTGGAGAAAGTTTGATTATATTGGGGTTTATCAACCCCACAAAAGAGAGACTAAAGAGGATATATCAGCATGACAAATTATACTGCGGATGAAGAAAATGAGGAAAATTATAGTGAATGTGAAGAATATGATGGGCACGAAAATTTCGGAGAGGGAAATGTAGAAAAATCAGAACTTGAGTGTTCTCAGGAAGATCTGGAGAGACTGAGAGAGCAGATATTGAAGGAAGCAGAAGCCCTTTTGTCAAAGGCCTTGGGTGAGGGAAAATCTGAGCTTGATGCTTCTAGTGTTGTTATTCGTGAAGGTGAGAAATTTGAGGGTTCGATTGAAAAACATATGGAGAAAGATGAAAAATCCGCTTTTGGATGGTTGTTGAGACTGGTTAATTCATTTGCAGTTTATGCAGTGTATAGATAACAAGATGCATTCATATTTTCTTAGTCTCTGCCTATTGTCCGATTGGGGAAGAATCAAATGGTGTTTGTTTCATGAATATCCCGTGCTTGATCACCCAATGCAAGGCAAAGAGTTCGCTTATAGTAATTTCTTGGGGCCGGAGTAATAGCTGCGTGTTAGGTTCTATCATTCTAATATAGTCATTTTTGTGTCCGTTTGAGTGTGTGTGCATGCGTGCTTGTCTGCATGTGTTTGATCCCGTAATTTAAATGGCTGAACATTTGAGATGTTGCTTTAATGGAAACAAGTACTTTCTTTTAATATGAGATCAACCTTCTCGAAGCGTTTGATTTCTTCTTGTTAAATCCACGTGTGTGCGCATATACACGTGTACATATATACATCTGCGATTTATTTATCTATTGATCGATCTTCCATCTTCTATATATGTTAAACAGATAATCATATGGCTTTGGAAGATTCTGAAGGAGATGACGATGCAAAATCTTGTTTTCCATGCCCTTTCTGTTATGTGGATATTGAAGTCCCATTGCTCTGCAGCCACTTGGAGGAAGAACACTGCTTTAACTTTAAAAATGCAGTAAGCGCTTTCCTTTACCTGATATTTTGTCGAGTGCGATTTAAGGGAGATAGATGTTATCAAAATTGAATTCTTGAGTCATTCCTTTAAGGTTTCGACAAAAAAGATGCTGTGTGAAATTGATGGATATTTCAGTTAGAATTTGAACCTGATGGCTGCTTTAATCCCACTATTGCAGGTTTGTCCTTTGTGCGCTGCGAATCTGGGGAAAGATGTAATTGCACATTTTACGGTACATCATGCAAGCTCCTTCAAGGTATTATTACCTATACTGGGTCATGGGATTCATAATAGTCAATTTAGCCAATAACTTTGTTGATCATTGTCGGACCCTTAAAGGATTCATCTGTTATCTTTCAGCACAGGAGAAAATCTCAAAAATCCGGTTTGTGGCCTGGTAGTTCAGCAATGCTTGGGAAGGCACTGCTGAAAAATGGAAGGTCATATGCACAGGAATCTGCACCTGATCCTCTCCTCTCACCATTTATCTGCAATATATCTTTTCCAGACCCTACAGGTATCCCCGAAGATGTTTGTTCCGATATCGATTCCCCCGTCACTTGCGGCCTAAAAAGGTACACTCCTTTTGCTGTTTAATGAAAGTTTAACGATACCATATTAGTGATTGTTTGAGTGTGAGGTACAATAGGGATTACAAACTTTAGAAATCTTTATTTTAATATCACCATGTATTATGGACCGATGATATGATCGCAAATGGGTCTTCAAAACCCAGGTATATGGTGATTTCATAAAGCAGAAACTAAATGTCCTTACCATATGTTCCAATAGTACGAAAGATCTTCTTTTTATAAGCTTTCCAAAAAAGAAGATTTGTGGTTTATATATGTTTTCTAACCCTAATAACTATTTGGTATCTGGGAAAGGCTTACATTGCATCTAAATCTGCTTTCAGTTACGGTTTCAAAAATTTCAAGATATATTGATTTTGCAAATCCTTTAAATTGTTTAGTTCTGTTAGGGTCTAAGTTATCGTAATATGATTGTATCTCTTTCCTCTTGTTTCCTATCTTTGTCTCGTAACCTCTTGTTTAATCGTTTACTTTCACTGATTCTAATAACCAATGAACACTATTAGCTTTGTGTGGTATTGATTTGGAACTTTATCTGACGAGTTTACTACCGTTCGAAATATATGGTTGACACCTTAAGTGTACATGTCTGAAAAGTTGCATAATCATCTGGGAATTATGGGATAGTGCTTTTTACGTTACATGGGGTCTTTACTTTTTGAAATGTTATGTTACTTCAATTCCAACCAACTTCACTTTCGAACTAAAAGTAAAGGACAGTTACAATTCCATCACACCAGTTAGGCAGTTTTGTGCGGGGGTGATGAAGAGAAATAGGAAGCAGGAAACAAGGAAACCCAACCATTATCTCGCAGTTGTGCTTGTGTCATCCAATGTAGAACCGTGACGTTTCCCACATGTTTCATCAAGATGCAGTATTAAATTGTTTCACTTCATTTTGCCCTGATATTTGTCACAAGTCGGTAATTCACTACTTGTTATTAATGCTTCTTCGGTTGTTTCACCTCATTTTGCTCTGATATTTGTCGTAAGTGGGTAGTTCGCCAAGTTGTTATTAATTCCTTTTATTACTCTTCCGTTGCCCTTCTTCTACTTTGTTGGGTAAAGTCATGATGGCACGACTCTGCTGCAAGTTGTACTGGTTTCGCTAACTAACATTTAGGATATGTGATTTCATGGTGATGCCTGTTGATGCCCTGTTACTGATGCATTTTGTCTGTGCAGCGGCGAGCCATCTCCGCCAGATGAAGCTTGTGAAAAGGATAGAGAAGAGAGGAGGCAGAGGGCGACATTCGTGCAAGAGTTGATTGCATCAACCATATTCTTGGATATATGAACTCATCAGAATACAAAGCTTTCTGCAGGACGCCGAGGACTGATCTTAGTCGCTAAGGACGGTGTATCTTCCGGCACTCACAGCATACACAGTGGAGCATGGTTTTAGGAAAGATAGTTCTATGCTAGTCAAGTAAGAGAGTTGTCTTTGAGATGGACAATATTTGTCTGCAGCAAGGCAATGTGTGTACTGTATCGTATACAATGTGTCGTTAAATGTCTATTTATATATAACAGCTTGTTTTAAAGGCAGACTTTTTATAATTAGTGATGATTAGCAGAGTATGGCAGGTTTAGTGAATATATTATCTACTAATCTATATGCTAGTACCAAATTTTTGTTCACCTAATTTTTAGGCAATCCCGTGGCCATATCGTTTGAAGCTCAAACAGCGGCGGCATGGCAAATCGGTCAGAAATTTGTATATTCTCGTGACAGATTACACTTTACCATTTACATGCTATGGCCTAAGGCCGGACATGAGCGGTTTCTAGCTGTTGAATCATGTGGTAACATACAAAATATGAGCTATAAAATGCAACAATAACGTTAGTGATCACAAAAAGCAGAGCAAATCAAGATGATGAAACCTACAAGATATATAACATTTCATGGTGGAAATTGCTTCAAAATGTCAAAAACCAGATAAAAATTGAAGCTGAGAGAGTTCAAGTTGGGCACCAAATTGCAAAAACAAGTTGAGACCACCACATAATTTGTATTTTCTATCACTCAATAATGGATTGAATAACACCAGCTCCAACAGTCTTCCCTCCTTCTCTGATGGCAAACCTCATCCCCTGCTCGCACGCCACCGGAACAATCAGCTCGACCACAATCTTAACGCGATCGCCAGGCATCACCATCTTCGACTCCTCATCCTTATCGTTCATAATCGAAGTCACCTTCCCGGTGACATCAGTAGTCCTCATGTAAAACTGCGGCCTGTAACCCGAAAAGAACGGTGAATGCCTTCCCCCCTCTTCCTTCTTCAACACATACACAATCGCCTCGAATTTGGTATGCGGGGTAATAGTCCCGGGTTTGGCCAACACCATCCCTCTCTGGATATCAATCTTCTGGATACCCCTAAGCAACAACCCCACATTGTCACCAGCCATGGCATCATCAAGAATTTTCTGAAACATTTCGACACCGGTGACAGTTGTGTTCCTGGTGTCCTTCAAGCCAACAATGTCGACGGTGTCTCCGACCTTAACCTTCCCCCTCTCGACACGGCCAGTGGCCACAGTGCCACGGCCAGTGATCGAAAACACATCTTCGATCGCCATCAAAAATGGCAGCTCAGTCTGCCTCTGAGGAATCGGAATGTAATCATCAACAGAGTCCATAAGTTCATAAATCTTATCAACCCATTGATTTTCGCCTCGCGAAATGGTGGGATTCGCCATTAGAGCCTCTAGTGCAAGCAGTGCAGATCCAGAAATAATAGGCACATCATCACCAGGAAATTCATAGGAAGAAAGCAACTCTCTCACCTCCAACTCGACGAGCTGCAAGAGCTCCTCGTCGTCCACCTGGTCCTGCTTGTTCAGGAAAACCACCATGTTCGGCACACCCACCTGCTTCGCCAGCAAGATGTGCTCTTTGGTCTGCGGCATTGGGCCGTCGGCTCCAGAGACGACGAGAATGGCGCCGTCCATCTGGGCGGCGCCGGTAATCATGTTCTTGACGTAATCGGCGTGGCCGGGGCAGTCGACGTGGGCGTAGTGGCGGTTCTCGGTCTCGTACTCGACGGTGGCGGTGTTGATGGTGATTCCACGGGCGCGCTCTTCCGGGGCGGCATCGATTTCGTCGTATTTCTTGGAGACGCTATTGCCGATGGAGGCCAAGGCCATGGTGAGGGCTGCGGTGAGGGTGGTCTTGCCGTGGTCGACGTGGCCGATTGTGCCGATGTTGACATGGGGCTTCTTGCGCTCGAACTTACCTCTGGCGGCTTTGACGGTGAAGTTGCGGCGGTGGTGGCGGGTGTTGGAGGCGGGTGTGAGGTGGAGGATGGTGGAGGGGTTGAGGAAGGAGGAGGAGAGGTGGGTGAGCTTGGAAGAAGGTCTAATGGAGAAAGAAGAGGTTGTGGGGGACGGGGAGGCTGTGGAGGCATATGGGTATGCGAGCTTTGAGGAAGCTGAGGTTGCAGCTGCAGCTGCTGCTGTGGAAATTGCCATGGAAAGACTGAGTCTTTAGAGAGAGAAAGCGGGAGGAGAGAGAGAGGGAGAGGGAGAGAGTGAGAGAGTGAGATGAGTGTTATCTTGTTAGGAAGACACAGGAGGACCTCATATGGGGTGGTCTATCCATTTCTCTGCCTCAGAGTTAGTCTTCGTGGATTACTGGTGGGAGTTTGGGGTTTCTGTGCAACCAGGGTTGTGGGCTCACACGTGTGAAAATAAAACCTTTCCTGCTCTTATTGCATTTTTAGGGATTTCGATTTCAATTCCAATTGCAAAGAACTTCTGGAGTATGAATATCCATCCTCAAGCTCCGAGTTTTCTATAAATTTCAAAGCTTAACTCTTAAATTATTTTGAAAATAGTTTTATTTGACAACTCACCATCATACTCTTTTTCATTGTAAACACTTTTGTCACTTTTCACACATTCTCTCTCGTCCCATTATACACTCATGTTTACCATTGGTCATTTGATTAATAAATCAAAAGATAATGAAAAAACAGAAGTAAACAAAAATGTGAAGAAAGAGAAAAATTGCATGTACAAATTTATTTTCTTTAAAGTAAAAGAAAAAAATCCCAATGGGACTCTTTAAGTTCATTGGACATTGGAGGCTAACTGAAAGTACTATTGGTAAAAGTGCTTCTAGGTTTCATAAATACTTAAATGCTTGTTGCAGGAGGTAGCAACTATATAGTTTTTGCAAAAAACATTTTTAAATATTTTTTCATGATTCACTTGCATTTTTACTACGCATTAATTCCAAAAGCACTCTCATTAAAAATACTTTCAGTCATTTTAAAAGCACTTTCATAATGGATCTCATTTAGTTGGGCTCCAAAGTATATGCAATCGACTGATCGATGGTGATTTGTGCCCATTATGTGATGGCAACCCATAAAAGCCAGACTCCCTTTGTGCCACGTAACTGATGCAAATACCTTAATTTTTGGAAACAAATCATACGAAGCAATGGCCAACGTGCCACGAACACCAACCTCATATTTTGGAATCCAGAAAAAACAAGGGCCAATTATAAATTTCAACTTTCATGTTATGATTATTATGCAGTTAAACAATAAACCAAGGGCAAAGCATGCCGCAACAATAACTTGACAAACACGTAACCCCCAAAACTAAGAAATTTAAATTAATTTTCACATTTGCTCAACGCACTGATTTGAGGTATAACTGAAAGAAGAAGGGTAAAGAATTATCTGTACAGGTATGTACTCCATGTGATGGCTACCGCGTATTCGTTATATGTAGGCGAGCTTGTTCATCTTCAGGCATCAAATCGACTTATCAGACTCGATGAGTTGCCTCGCGGGAGTTCCAAGTGCCGGAATTTGTAGGGCTTCCCGGGTCACTCTAAAGCTGATCTAGATGACAAGAATGATTGTCCTCCAGGCTATCACTTGCTGAACCTATATTACAAATCTCCCTCAATATCCACATCCAGCAGCAAAAAACACAGCTTCTTCTGTTTCTATCACTTGCTAAACCTTTACCGAAGTATAGGATATATCTGCAACTTCTGTTTCTGTCACTGGAAAATCAAATGAATAATCTATATATCCCGGCATTGGCAGTGGAGATATGAAACGGAAAAGAGATGCTGAATCTGCAAATTGATTGGTTTAGCTGTCTCCCTCATACTGCATTTTGTAGTCTGGAAATCTCATCTTACATATATCTAAAACTTTTTGACAGAAAACTGGTGGCAGTTCTTTCAATAGGTCTGCTATTGCTAATTCATGCTTCCTCTTGAGCTCGTCTAACTCCTTTTTCTGTTCTACCAATAGATTCTCAAGTTTCTCGGCAATGATCTTTACTTCTTCTGATTCAAATGGATGAACTCCATTAATAAGATGTGGATTAGTAGCTGCATGACTATCACCACTCGGTGATTCAGAGGCTCCATCACCATTTGGATTATTTTCCTCTCTATGGCCACCAGGAGATTTCTCATCTTCCTCAACACCACCATTTGGTGAATTTGAGGGGCCAGCACCATTTTCATCATCTTCCTCCCTAGGGCTGCTACCAGGAGAGTTCTCGTTTTCTTCAGCACCTCCTGCAGTGACTGGATCCGCTGGAGAATTCAAATTGGTAATGACATACTTCCCTGGAGAATTTCCACCGCCTTCCTTGGGTGATTCACACCAGTACTTGCGGCCTGAAGGCAATCTTTCTAATGCAAGATTACTAGAAAGAAGGTCCTCGTGTATCAAGGGGGAAGCATCCTCATTATACTCAGAAGCATGGCTATAAGGAGTTGAGGCCTCACCATCAATATGATCTCCAGAATTTTCGCGATCGGCCAATCTGGAATGTGGGAATGGATTTCAGAGTCGATTAGTTCAGCAATTGTTGAAACATCTTGATCTGTCAGGTCTAACTCTTGAACCATTTCACTAGCAACAGCAATTGCAGTGTCTTCCCCAATGTCAAATGGAAAGTGAATATTTCGAAAATGACCTGGGCCCAGGTGGAAACTTTCTCAATTTTAAGACCAGGAACTGGCATAAAAACATACTTCTTTGACTGAAAAGTAAATAAACTGGAAAGCGGGAAGAAAAAGAAAGAAAAGGCTACCTGTAGAATCTGCTATTCGTAATTTCAGAAATATCGTGTCATCTTTCCTCTGACCTTGCACACTGAAGTCCCGATTTGTCTCATGAGAAGGGTCCATATCCTTTGTCTCGATATCAATCTGATCAGAACTGCCTTCTGCATCTAGCATGTCACAATGTGAGGAGAATGACACAAAAAGCCTTTGAGCACTAGATAAAAAACTCACTTTACCTGAATAATGAGTGGGTCGTAGAGAGCGAGTTATACTTTCACGATCGTCATCTGATTGGAGAAAAGGATCCATAAGAAGTTCTTTTGCAGGCAAGCGTTCTGAAACTTTCACAATGCATTTTTCTATGAATGCTTTAACTCCAGGATCTGTCACTTTTGCCAACGATGCTGGCTTTACTCCCTACCATACCAAAACGAAAAAAAGAACAGATATAAGTAGCATGTTATAACTGATTCAAGGACCATGTTAGAATGTATCATAATCATTCACCACAATCCTCCTAACAACTCTATTTTTCAGAAAAGTGGCAAACTAACAAAATTTATGCTGGTCCTGGAACAGGAGATCAAGGGGCGTTTGTGCAAATATGCCTAGAATTACAAGTATAAACCTTTCTATTGGTGGGAAAGGATCCAAAGTTCCTGTAGCGAAATAAGCTAAACAACTGAATCATGCATCACAATCCAATGAAATGAATCATTAACCACAATCAAAAGAAATAATAATGCAATGTATCTAGAAAAATTAAATTAATAAAAAACTTGAGTCTGACAGATCAAACCAAGTCTTGAAAGTCTTCCTCAAGTGACTGTTCATGTCCACAGAGAAAATACGCATAAAAAGTCATGAAGCCCTTACTGATGTCACTTTCTTGAATATTTGAGCAGCATTTGAACATTCAACATATGGATACTCAAAGGTCACCAACTCTAGCACGCACATGCCAAAGGCATAAATGTCTACAAGCTCATTGTATTCCTCTTCGTAAAGTTCTGGCGCCATAAACTCGGGAGTACCTAAAGGGAGGAAACAATTACATTGCCGGCCCTGTTACTAAAGATTCTGAACTAAATACTATCCCAGAAGAAAAATATGAATAATGATTATAATTGCAGTCCTCACCAATGACACTGTGAGCTGAACGAGCCTGTCGAAGAATAGCAGCCAGTCCTAGGTCACCAATTTTGACTTCACCTTGGTTCCCATTGACAAAAATGTTGTCACACTTCAAATCTCGATGGATTACTGGGGGGTCATGATTATGAAGATACCAAAGGCCTTCTAAGATCTGCCTAGACCATTTCTTCAACGCCCTCAAATCAACGTGCTTATGCTTTCTCCGGTACCTACACGATAATGGACACTGAGACACTGGGGCACTGAATAAAAGCATACAGAAATCACAAACATTGAATGTTATACAACAACAGATCACTAAATACTCACTGTCGTAAAGTTCCCGAAGTGAAAATCTCCGTAATAAGGTTGATGTTCTCATGCTTGGCATCGACCCACGAATTGTAAAACTTAATTATGTTCTTGTGCTTTAGAGTCTTAAGCAAATGAACTTCCGAATACAGTCTCTCTAAATCTTCGGAGTTGCGTAGTAGATCCGCCACCTTAACCTGATTCCAAGCTACCTCTATTCCTTCCAATTCATCAAATGCTCGATATCTAAGTTCCTTACCGATCAAGGCCACACAAAAATAGATCCACAACACAATTCCGCCTCGATATAATATCAAGTAAAATGGTTCAAATTCAAACGCATTGTATCCAACTAAAAACCCAAAAATTAATTCAAAAAATAAATAAGTAAATAAACAAATGAGAGCAAAAAGGATACACTTTCTTGAAAGCCCCTTTTCCTAGAACCTCTTTATACTGCAAAATCACCAAAACGAAAGAGAATTCAACACATATCAATCTAAATCACAACTTTATTAACAAAAGATTAAGACTTTAAGGCATTGAGTAATTAATTTCCAAACATTTCAAAAGTAAACCAGCTAAATCAAATCAACAAATAATTAAAAAAAGAAACAGAAAAGAAATGGAAATTAAAACAAAAGAGAGAGTGAAAAAAGTAACGGCCACTGACCCGACCGTATCGACCAGTGGGATCAACCTCAACGAACTCGATATCGGCATCGTCGGTGTCTTGCTCCGACGACAAATCCAGTGGCATTGTCGATGACTCGTTCGTCTTTTCCAAGCAAATCGACCCGAGAACGACCCGATTCGGATCAAATTCTAATACGCACCGTATTAGGAAACCGGCAGTCGGAGGTGCTGAAGTATGAAGGCGGAGAAGCGGACGAAGGAGCGTGCGTTTGCGGAGGTGTGAGAAGGTGAAAGGAGGAGAGAGAGAGAGAGAGAGAGAGAGAGAGAGAGAGAGAATGGGACGTGAAAGCGAAGCCGTCTATGATAGAAGAACTAACTGAGATTTTGATTTGATTTATTTTATTTTTGTTTTATTTATTTCGGTCATGTGGGAGTAATGTGCTACGCGCGTTTCTTCAGCTTGATGTCGAACCTTAAACTGCTACGTTGATTCTTTACGTGGAGCCATCCAACGGTTGACAATTTTTACAAGTGGGCTCTACTGATTAAATATTAGTTTGACTTTCTTAATAAATAGACGAGTGCTTAAAAAAAATAGGAAAACTAATTAAAAAGATTTAAAAACTTTAAGTTTTAACGATAAGAACAAAATAAAGGATAAAGTGAATACTACCAGGATTGACTTTTTAGTATAAAAATGTGGTTTTTCGTTAGAGTAAATAGTACCGGGAATTTTTCGTTAAAGTTCCCTAAAAAAATCTTTCATCCCAAAAAGTGGTAGTGTTTTATAAATGGAAAGGATCATCTCCGGATCCCTTTTCCTAATTCACTATATCAGGTAATTTGTGCTGTTAAAATTTAATCCAATGGTTGAAGTTATTGTAACTTTTAAAGTGGACCCTGTTTGTAGTTGTTAGATTAAATTTCAACGGCATAAATTTCCTGATTTGATGAATTAGGAGGAAGGGATCTGGAGAAAATCTCTTTCCAAGCTAACCAGTTAGCAGGTTAATCTATGATCAGAACTGTTCAAGTTTTATAAAACTACTAATCAATTGAAAGTGACTCGTTAATTAATTGTAATTTAATACAGGAAATTTAGCAGCTAATGTGACGTTAATTAATCAAGGTCGTCACGCTAATGTACGAAAATAGTTTTTCCAAAAGAAATCTTATCACCAGTAACCATTTTCTTTCTAATTCATAAAGACATGACGAACTAGCACACAAACGCTGATGGTGACCTCGCTTGAATTCACATCCAAAAACTATAAGCTAAAAAGGATCTATGTTGCCACTCAGTAATATGGTCTAGTAATATCACTCTTTGCTTAAAAGTTAGAGATCTTAGGTTCTAATCTTGTGAATTACGAATTCGATATCAAATCAGACTACTAATTGTGTGACTTAGCCGAACTCCTGTAAAAATATTGATGTACTAAAAAGAAACAAAATATTGATGTATTCAAAAGTTGACTGGCAAATATTGTTTTAAGCGACGTCACAAACGAATTTAGTGTGACCGTCACACTGCCATGTTGTGTTACAAATCCACTCGTACCCTAGGTCGCTTATGTTTAAACCATGTTGTCCACTGATACCATATTGTAACATGTGAATTAGCAACATCACGAGGAAATGTGATAATCACACTGAAAAATTTCTCATTTCTCCATAGCAACACAAGAGATGGCCAACGGACTCGAAACTACAGATGAAGCTAACCAAAGTAAAATAAATGATAAAACAGTCTACGTGTGTAACAATCACATTTATGCCAACTTGATATCATTCATCAACCTGAGTACATACTAAATCGGAAAGTAAAATATTCAGGTAACTTGCCCGGTATTCAGTTGAACTCGCACGTCTCTACCAGGCATCTCAGATTCTCAAAAGACTTGATGAAGATTCACAGACTAATAACGCGTTCAAAAGAAAAAGAACAATAGGAAATGAGATCACCAAAATTTTGCTGGATTTCTGACCCAAGTCATACATGGGAATCATCTTCGTCAGGCAACATCCTTTTGATACCACTGGCTACGATTGCTTCTTAAATGCATTGATTTTGTCCCTGACATAGTACAGCTTCGCCCTCCGCACTTTCTTCTTGTCCAGCACCTTAATCTCCTTTATATTAGGCGAATACCTGCCATACGTTATCGACTTTCAGTCATTCTGTTGAGACTGAGCACAGTTCTACTTATGTGAAACAAATGATAGGAATAGGCAAATCCCACACATGAGTTGCACATGAAATAATCAGAAATCAATATAAATATTTGTTTGAAGACACCACACCGAGTTTGCGTACAAAATATCATCTGTTTCACCCAAATAGTAATTTAAGTGTAAATAACTAAAAATCTAGAATTTGCGTTGAAGTTAGGGGTGGTTTGGAAGTAAGGTGCTTAAAAAAAAAGCACCCATGAAAAAAAAGCTGTGAGAGTTTTAGGTGTTTGGTAAACTGAAAAAAAAATGGCTTATTTTGGAAGCTGCTGTGAGAATAAGCTGAAATCAAAGGAAAAAGCTGAAGCTGCTATTTGTAGCTTTGGAAAACTGGTTTTTTTTCAAAGCACACGGAGCTGCAGTGCTCTTTTAATGAAAATACCCACTATCAGACTGTTTTTTTTTTCAAAAGCACTTTTACAAAAAAGTTTACCAAACACTCTGCTGATTTTTTTCACAGCCGCTTATTCTCACAGCACAGCCGCTTATTCTCACACCAGATTTTTTTCAAAGCACAGCAATACCAAACCAGCCCTTAATTAGTTTGCAGTCATGAACACCAGAGCGTTAACTAGCAATATTTACTGAGCATGGTTAGTTTCTAAATTTTAGAGTACAGAATTTTGACTATATTTTTTTTTTTGAGAAGAGAATTTTGACTATATAACTCAGTAACTTTCTAAAGGCTCCATTTTAATGTACATTTTATAAGACAATCAACAACTGACTAATCTTCGAAAATGTCGTATGCATAATGTTGTACAAGCGTGTAATACCCGTATAATCAGAGTCGAGAATTAATAAGTTATCACAGTAAAATTTCAATACACCCTCTTCCAGGACATCCCACTATGAAAATCACATGTTTTCTTTCCAACTTAAAGCAGGGTAGCAAAGACAATACAGGCTAGGACCATCAATGTAAAAGAAAATAAAAACCAGAATTGCTTACAGTGGAAAGAGAGATTCAACCCCGACCCCAGCCACTTGCCTCCTGATTCTAATTGTAGAGTTTAGACCAGCATTACGTCTAGCTATCACGACGCCTTTCACGACTGAAACACGTCGCTTGTTGTCGGGTACTTCCTGTTCACATACAGAAAAGCATTGGGAAAAAAAGAATCTGCTCAATCTCACAAGGAACTCCGTCCACAACATAAAGCACCTTACAAAACTTTAATTTTTCAAAATGAACACAACATACCACTCTGAGTTGCACCATATACCCAGGCCTTACATCCGGTATTTCTCTCTGTGTCCTCACTTCCTCTACAGCTTCCTTATCTAGAATCTGTGGATATATAATGAACCAATATAAATATAAAAGGAATAGAACACGCGTTATGTCTTGTCATGAATACCAACAGATAGAGGCATGCCTGCATTATGTGGTGAGCAGTTTTATCAAGCCTCTTGAATTTGATGGGAGGAGCTACATCAGACTCATACATTCCTGAATCCTGAGTAGCTGATTGAACAGGATTTGCCCCTGTTGTAATGCACCTGCTTGGGAAAGGAGGTAAAACTGCCGCACATCGACAAAATCCTGGTCGAGCACTCTTGAATAACTTGGAACTACACGAACAAGTTGATGTCTCACTTGGAGAGCTAGTTGTAGTCTGGTACAATATAGTACACAGCATCACAAAAAATTGATCTTAGGAAAGAAAGACAAAATATTGCACTTCAGATGAATTCCACACTGTATAACATAAATATGTGTTTATGACGTGTGATCTAATGTTCGTGTTTCCTAGTTGTACAGTAATTATGTCATAATCCACATCTCTCCAGAATATCTTTTTGTTACTTCTCTATCACATTTCCGGTTTACAAGTGTTCGGGTTAACCCTTGTATACATCTCATACACATAAAAATAGTCGTCCAATTCACCTTCTCTACCAAAGTTTATGACTTACGACCATTGTGCGGATCCTTTCCGGATCCCTTTCCACCTAATCTACCAAGTCCAGGATCCGGGCCGTTGAAATTTGATCAAACGGCTACAGTTATTATAACTTTTAAAGGGACCCTTGTTAGATCAAATTTCAACGGTTCGGATCACAGAATTGGTGGATTAGGTGGAAAGGGATCCTCCATTGTGCACACTGGCAAGTGACCTTCCTAAACACGAAAAGCAAAACGCGAAGCAAATCGGCCTGTAGACTCATTCGCAAGCTCGAAGTGCATCAAATACCTTTAAGTTAACAAAGAAATCTTCTTTTTTCAAATGTACCAACACCCAATAACTCGTTTACACGAAGAACACTGTGTTTTCGAATAAAAACACCGAAAATTCACAATTACAGGCATATTCAGAGTAAAATCCAATACCATAAACATGTTAAAAGTGCAATCTTCAAATTAAAAATCAACTAAAACATGCTAAAATGCTGTTAAATAGAGTATAACGAGTCGAAAACATACGAACGAGGCCGAAGACCGATACGAAAACTTGGAAATTGACTGAAACAAGTAGCTTCAGAGACCCCAACCCCGAAAAATCCCCCAATTTCTCGGCAGACGCCAAACGATCCGACGCCAACGAGCTAAACCCAGAACCGCTGCTCAATTGGTAAGCTCCGATTGATCTAAAATGAGCAATTTTTGAGCTGTCGATTCTTTGTCTTCGGACCAATCGGATGCTCGCGCTTAAAGTCTGCATTTTTACGAAGTGGGTATGCAATCAAATTTTCTGTTTGGTTGCTGAGAAAATGGAGTGGGGGAATGAGAAAATGGATGCAATTTTCTATTGGGTTTTCTAGGGAACCAAACGGGGAGGGATGACCGGTGGCTTACCCAAAACCCACGGTAGCTTGGGAAATGGGGTTTATGTTCAGGGTAGATGGACGAAAATGCCCTCTTTGGCTTCAAGGCATTAGGGCTCCGATTTGGGCCCAAGGATTGTACAAACGGGCCTATCAACGGTATAATCTGGCCCAGTAATGGACTTTGGGCCTGAAGAGGACTAGCCCTTTTCTTCACATACCAAATTAAAGGTTAAATGTAATATTTCATGAGTCATGTGTAAGAAGAATAAGGATTGGCTGCCGAAAGAAAAGCTGGAGCTCCTGCTGAATTCAATCAGTGTTATTAAAATTGGACACGTGTCCAAATAATTTGAAGAATTAAAACTTGAACCAACATCGCCCTACTTGTTTACACTTGTCAAATTTTAATGGGGTTTCAACAAGAGCTTCTACTCTTCTTTCAGTAGTCAATCATTGTTCGTGTAAAAAAGGTGAAGAAAGAGAATGACATGGGGAATGATATCTAGTTGTTCATGTCTGAGGATCCTCTTGTTTTTTTTAATCCCTCTTTATATGAGGTTTAGATGAAGGTTCGAGTTGAACAACAAAAAACATACGTAGATATTCACGTATGACATACCAAGTTTCAACGTGGAACTCGCCCATTTTTCAGTCCCTATTTATTAGTTTACACATTTTGATATGTGAAGAATGACAACTAACTATGCTGGTTGATGCTTTTGCTAATATAGGTCATTCTAAGTTATGTGAGAAAATTTGGATTCATTCCTTGCATGATGATATTTGATTTCAACTTTGGTCTATCAACTTGGATATCACTATAGCAGTACGTCAAGAGAATTAAGCATTATCATGTAAAAATATTAAGATTAAGATACATAATAATGCTTTGATTGACTTGAAATGAAACCGTCACAATGATATCATTTATAGGTAAAAAAAGTGAGGATTATCCAAGCATTATTATGCAACCATTAGCTGGACCAGTTCTGCAGCAGCTACAAACATTAGATTCCTCAGACTTTTCCCTCAGCAATTATCGCCACCACCCCCGTAGTCTTAGATTCCTCTACTACATAATTGCTACACATTTTTTAATACAAAGTTAAAAAAAGTTGCACCTCCCATATACAAACTTTATGAACGCTTATTCAAACAATAAAAAATCCACAAGACCCACATCGGGAAGCAAAACCAAATTATCCAAACTCTTTTACGTTATATAGTTTTGACTGGGTTTTTTGGTTGATGTTAAAGAGATCTACTTTTGGATTGACTCATGCTATAGAGTCAAGATACTTTAATTTCTCACATTTTTTAAAACATGTATTATTACATAAAGTATGATCACGGTAATCATGAACTATATATTTTATAAAAATACACGATGTGTTGGCTGATGGTTGTTCGATAGTTAGATTCATTATTTAGAGTTCAATTACAGAGAGTCAAATAACATGGTTGAACCATAAATAATGTGTTGACAAATGGTCTTACTTATACTTTTAACCATGCGTGGAATTATGTAATTTAAGTGCGTGCAGCGGAAGCAAAACCACCTCGGATTCAATAAAGTTGTCTTTGTAAAATTGCAAAGAAAATTGTAATATATTTAAAGTACAATTAACAAAATAAATAAATTGAAATCCAGGTAAGAGAGAGATTAGAAATGAACTGCCAGTCTATCTACCAGTTTAGAAATAGTTCTTTAAACAATGCTGCCAAACACACCTCTGGCAGCATCTGTGACTCAACACATCTTGTGACTAGGTTCTCTCACTCACTCTCTCCCACCGTCTTAAAACTCCCCTCTCCCCCCCAACTCTCCTTCCTCCAATTTGTTCCTCATCTTCCACTCCTTTGGTTTTCATCCTCTTGAGAAACTTTCTGCTTTGATAACTCCGTTAAGTACGTTTCAGTTTTAAATTCTGGATCCGTCACTGCTATAAAGGTTTTTTCGCACCTCATTTTTGAGTCTTGGAATCGTCGTTCGACGCACCTCATTTTTCAAATCCTGAATCCGTCGTGGTGACGAAAAATGCAAGACCACATTGGCATTCCTGCTTGCTTCTCCTCAGGTGAGAAGTTAAGTGATGATGCATCAGCTGTGGCTAGGTCAGGCCACAGTGTCTACATGAGAGTGTACAGAACCAAGATAGCCGATCAGAGCCGCTTGATCACGATCACATGGTGCAAAAACCTGCTCCTCCATGGCCTATCGGTGACGATGGAGGGCCCGGATGGAGATCAAACCCAGCAGCACACCCAACACAGCTTCAAAGTTGAGCTCAAGCCATGGTACTTCTGGAGGAAGCAAGGCTCCAAGCGCTTTGTGGTTGATGGGAAGGCAGTGGAGATCTTCTGGGACCTCAAGGCCGCAAAATTCAACGGCGGGACGGAGCCCAAATCAGAGTACTACGTTGCGGTTCTTTGTGACAAGGAAGTTGTTTTGCTTCTTGGTGATCTCAAAAAAGATGCATACAGAAAAACAGGTTTTAGACCTGCCCTCACTGATCCCACTTTGGTTTCTAAAAAAGAGCACATTTTTGGTAAGAAAAAGTTTTCCACAAAAGCTAAGTTTTATGAAAAAGGCAGGCTGCATGAAATTGCAATTGAATGCAAACACAGAGGTGGCGGTGGCGGCGACGGGAGCATTGGGAGTGGAAGTACCCTAAATGGGGTGGAGCCGGAGTTGGAGATTAGGGTTGATGGGCATTTGGTGGTTCATGTGAAGCATCTTCAATGGAAGTTTAGAGGTAATGAGTCCATTCGTATCAACAAGTTGAGAATTGAGGTTTATTGGGATGTCCATGACTGGCTTTTTAGTCCAGGATTAAGGCGTGCATTGTTTATTTTCAAGCCAAGTTTGCCTGCTTCAAGTACATCTCTGTCACCGTTATCGAGAACCTCGTCATCCTCGCCGCCATTTTCTTCATCGGCATCAACTCCATTGTCCTCTCAGACTAGTTCTGCATCAGTAGAAGGGATTAATGCAAGTTCTGCTGGTTCATCCGAGTTTTGCTTATTTCTTTATGCCTGGAAGATTGAATGAGAAAATGTATCTATCTCTTGGTAGACTATACTCATCATCACTTACGAAGACATTATTGTGACGGTGTTTCAAGTTCGCACAATGATAGTTTCTCAAGTTATTCACGCATATAACATGTACATTATGTGATTGATTTGGAATATGATTGGTTTCATCACCAGAGGAATGAGCTAGGGTGGCAAATGAAATGGGACATCAAGGAATGGGGACAGCATGGGACGGTGAGGATGCAGATTGGATTGATTGTTGGAGAATTGGATTGGAAAAAGAGGTGGAGCGCAAGAGGGAGAGGGGTTGGAGGTTAGTTACAGCTGGGATTGAGCAAATGGGCATGATTGGAGAAAGACAGACAAAATACACATATGAATGCCCAATAAGTTTCCAACCTAGAGAGGCATCTTTCGACATATTATATTTTTTTTATACAAAATTTCTCTTTCCTCTTTCTTGATCTAATCTTGATAATTGAGCAACTTTCTTCTACCAACATGGGTACATGTGAATGTCATGTCTTCAAACTTAATATAAAGAAATATTAGATAATACTAGCAAAAGAATCCGTGCGATACCGCGGGTTTTAAAATTTGTTAAACATCAAATATATTAAAACCTAATTATATCCATATCAAAGAAATATCTATTTACATCCTCATATTCCATAAGGTAAAAAGATAAATATATGTAGGATATATCACATATTCAAATCTGTCCACGTCCATACCATCGTCTATTTGCATCCTTATGTGTAATAATGAACAAAAGATAGGTATTTGAAGAATACATTACATAGAAAAAGATGTGGTTTAAGTTGTTCATACAAATACAATCACACAAAAATATATTCATTTTTCATATGACAAGGACAACCAATTTAGAGTTTCAAAACATAAATAAAAATTCCAATTCTCACCAAGAAAAAAGAGCCGAAGGAATACAATGGGTTTTGAGGAGAGACGAAGTCTTTACCAACTAACAAATGAAGTAAATCATGTTGTTCAATATTTGAGCTTCCAATTTGGTACACTTACATCTTTAATCTCTAACAAAACAAAAAAAAAAAGGAAAAACCATTTAGTATACTTCTCATAACATGTTACCCAAATTGCTTCACCGTTCACCTATATCCTCGGTGCTATAAACTTGACTAAAAAACCAGTAAATAAAAGTGGTTAAGCAAAAACCCTCACTTCTCATTACATGAAGAAATTTCTTTACCCTCTAAACCTACTCCCGCTGTGTTACTTTTGTAGTGCATACACGACGAAAACCAAAAAGAAAATGCTGCAAACGAGAAATTGGAAAATCATACCACCATCAAACATTGCACGGAAGGTATATGAAGAAGCAAGCAGGCAAGTTCTGTGAGCATACCATCTACCTGCAATTGGTCAGTAAACAATAAAAAATTTACAGAGGTCCTTAATGTTAACAATACATCCCACATGCTAATTGAATACTGTGTAATTAAGAAAAAGAAGAGGAACTCACGCTATGCTTCTTGGAAACTGGCGAGAGAGAACTGGAACTGGGTTGGAAGAATGTACTGGAAGCAAACGGAACACTCCAGCTTTTTCAGCCTCGTAATGAAATAATTTTAACAATTCGGTCAAGTATAAAACCATCTGCCAGTTATGGTTTTGGTAAATTATGTAGAAGCCAAAAATCTGATAAATAGTCTAACAATAAAGGAAAACCTCACGAAAGATTAAGAATCATTTTACCTCCGTCAGTGAACAATCTTTTTACTCCTATGCAAGTCGGTTGAGATTCATGAGTGTATCTGCCCTTCTGAGATGCAAAATATAAGTAAACGTCAGAAAAATAGAAGATCACATTTTTTTTTTTTTTGGGTTCCAAATGCAAGAAAAATTAAATCACCTATATAAAAATATTCAAACTTGGTAATGTACCGATTAATTGCAAATTGCAAAACAGTAAAATTCAACACAAAACCAAAATAAAAAGGAGGTATATTAAGTAGGCAAAAGTATTTAAATCATAGGATTTGAGAAATTATACAACAACAACAACAACAACAAAGCTTTTTCCCACTAAGTGGGGTCGGCTATATGAATCCTAGAACGCCATTGCGCTCGGTTTTGTGTCATGTCCTCCGTTAGATCCAAGTACTCTAAGTCTTTTCTTAGAGTCTCTTCCAAAGTTTTCCTAGGTCTTCCTCTACCCCTTCGGCCCTGAACCTCTGTCCCGTAGTCACATCTTCGAACCGGAGCGTCAGTCGGCCTTCTTTGCACATGTCCAAATCACCGGAGCCGATTTTCTCTCATCTTTCCTACAATTTCGGCTACTCCTACTTTACCTCGGATATCCTCATTCCCAATCTTATCCTTTCTCGTGTGCCCACACATCCCACAAAGCATCCTCATCTCCGCTACACCCATTTTGTGTACGTGTTGATGCTTCACCGCCCAACATTCTGTGCCATACAACATCGCTGGCCTTATTGCCGTCCTATAAAATTTTCCCTTGAGCTTCAGTGGCCTACGACGGTCACACAACACGCCGGATGCACTCTTACACTTCATCCATCCAGCTCGTATTCTATGGTTGAGATCTCCATCTAATTCTCCGTTCTCTTGCAAGATAGATCCTAGGTAGCGAAAACGGTCGCTTTTTGTGATCTTCGCTAGATTGCTCCGGTCATTAGTGTGGATAAGTACATAAATGGATAGAGATAAGAAAGCAAACACAAGATGTATGTGGTTCACCCAGATTGGCTACGTCCACGGAATAGAAGAGTTCTCATTAATTGTGAAGGGTTTACACAAGTACATAGGTTCAAGCTCTCCTTTAGTGAGTACAAGTGAATGATTTAGTACAAATGACATTAGGAAATATTGTGGGAGAATGATCTCGTAATCACGAAACTTCTAAGTATCGGAGTGTGGTGTCGTCTTGACTTGCCTTATCTGTCTCATAGGTAGATGTGGCATCTTCTCTGGAAGTACTCTTCTTCCATCCAGGGGTGGTATCTTTAACTGGTGGAGATGCACAAGGTAATGTATCAATTTCACTTGAAGCTTACTTGTAGTTTCAAGGCTTGGTCAAGCGCGATACAAACCATGTAGTAGGAGTCCCCCAAGTCGCCGAGCTAGGGGGTCTGCTGAAAGAGGTGACAGACAAGGTAAGCAATCAGAGCTCCGACCGATTGTTCACCTTCTCCCCATCTTGCAGCAGCATGAAGGATAAAGAGAAGAAAAATGAGAAGAGATGATATGAGATACTTTTGCTTTTGAAGAAGTAACTTTCCACAGGCTTATTCTTGAACTGAGCTGGAGGGTTTTCTGGTTTCCTCCAGAGTATAAGGCCGACTGAAGAATTTGAGGGTCAAAACAAGTCCATCAAATCTAGAGTACGTTCCACCCTGCTGATATGGGATACTTTTGCTTTTGACAGAGTAATGGATGTATCGGCACGTGTGCTGTTACGCTCGTCTCCACATGCTTCCTTGTATCCTTCGCACTTGCCCTATCTGTTCCTCAAGCAGATGCGGAATCTTCCCTGGAAACATAAGATGTTGAAGATGAGTACTCGAGAGCAATGCCAGGTAAGTAATCAGGTAAGGGGTTCCAGGCAGTCAGTTCCTGGCTGGAAGCTTGATTCCAAGTGCTGACTGATTGCTCTCTTTCTCCTTGTCTTGCAGGTAAAAAACAAGGCCAAAGGAAAAGACAGGGAAAAAGCATGATATGAGATACTCTTACTTTTAACCCTGATGATATGAGATATTCTTGCTCTAGTATAGCTTGTTTGCAGAGGTATTATCGGGGGGAAAGAAAGCTGAATATTTCGAAAGGCTTCGTTGGGAGTGCCCTCTCAGATATGATGAAGGGTTGAGCATTTTTGCAGGTCTGCCTGTCCGTTGGGGATGGAGGTCGACATATATAGGAGTCTCCCTAACAACAAGTAGTAATGCTATTCATTTACCCTGCTTGGTCATAGCACGGTAGTGGGAGCTGCCAGTTTCACATGTTTTAACTCTGTGAGATCACTTTGAAAAAATGGTCTGTGGTATCTGGCTCTCGAGATTTGGAGAACGATGCCTCTTCGATTTTTGAGAAAGCAATCATGCTGGGGGTCTGGCTCTCGAGATTCGGAAAGCAGTGTCTCTTCGATTTTTGAGGAAGTAATCATATTGGGAGTCTGGCTCTCGAGATTCGGAGGGCGGTGCCTCTTCGATTTTGGAGCAAGCAATCCTGTTGGGAGTGTTGTCTCGAATGTGAGTAAAGGTTGGGCATGTTTGCTAGTCTACCTTGCCCCGAAGCACAAAGGTTGACACACAGGAACTTTCCAATTATCTAGCAATGGTACTGTTCCTTTACCCTCTCTTCGCTTTTGAGAAAGTAGTCATGTTGGGAGTCTGGCTCTCGAGATTCGGAGGACGGTGCCTCTTCGATTTTGGAGCAAGCAATTTTGTTGGGAGTGTTTTCTCGAATGTGAGTAAAGGTTGGGCATGTTTGCTAGTCTACCTTGCCACGAAGCACAGAGGTTGACACACAGGAACTTTCCAATTATCCAGCAATGGTACTGTTCCTTTACCCTTGTGGGTAATAATATGGTAGCTAGACCTTCAAAATTTATGTGTCTAAACTTTGTTAGTGCTGTTTCTTTGCTATTCTTTTACCTTTCTTGGTCAGAGCGATGTAGTGGGAGCTGCAAGCTTCACGTGCTCAACTTTGGCAGATAACTTTGGCAAAGTTATCTGTGGTACCCATGAGCTATTGTTGCGTGTGGGAAGTGGGTGATTGAACAGTAAGATTCATGTGCTTTCTACTTCACCAGAAGTCTTCGACAGAATGCCCATAATTTCTGCAAAGCTGAGTGTGCGTGTGACAGGTGCTGACAAGGCTAGAATAGTAGGTGCCTCTTCGATTTCTGAGATCGGCCCTCGTGGTCTCTGAGCAGCCCAGCTTTTGAGAAAGCGAGCGCCTCTTCGATTGCTTTGGAGAACGATGCCTTATCGATTTTTGAGAAAGCAATCATGCTGGGGCTCTGGCTCTCGAAGATTCGGGGAGCAGTGTCTCTTCGATTTTTGAGAAAGTAATCATGTTGGGAGTCTGGCTCTCGAGATTCGGAGGGCGGTGCCTCTTCGATTTTGGAGCAAGCAATCTTGTTGGGAGTGTTTTCTCGAATGTGAGTAAAGGTTGGGCATGTTTGCTAGTCTACCTTGCCACGAAGCACAGAGGTTGACACACAGGGACTTTCCAATTATCCAGCAATGGTACTGTTCCTTTACCCTCTCTCTTCGATTTTTAAGAAAGTAGTCATGTTGGGAGTCTGGCTCTCGAGATTCGGAGGACGGTGCCTCTTCGATTTTGGAGCAAGCAATCTTATTGGGAGTGTTTTCTCGAATGTGAGTAAAGGTTGGGCATGTTTGCTAGTCTACCTTGCCACGAAGCACAGAGGTTGACACACAGGGACTTTCCAATTATCCAGCAGTGGTACTGTTCCTTTACCCTTGTGGGTAATAATATGGTAGCTAGACCTTCAAAATTTATGGGTCTAAACTTTGTTAGTGTTGTTTCTTTGCTATTCTTTTACCCTTCTTGGTCAGAGCGATGTAGTGGGAGCTGCAAGCTTCACGTGCTCAACTTTGGCAGAAAACTTTGGCAAAGTTATCTGTGGTACCCATGAGCTATTGTTGCGTGTGCGAAGTGGGTGATTGAACAGTAAGATTCATGAGTTTTCTACTTCCCCAGAAGTCTTCGACAGAATGCCCATAATTTCCGCAAAGCTGAGTGTGCGTGTGACAGGTGCTGACAAGGCTGGAAAAGTAGGTGCCTCTTCGATTTCTGAGATCGGCCCTCGTGGTCTCTGAGCAGCCCAGCTTTTGAGAAAGCGAGCGCCTCTTCGATTTCTGAGATCGACCTTCGTGGTCTTAGAGCAGCCCAACTTTTGAGAAAGCAAACGCCTCTTCGATTTCTGAGATCAACCCTCGTGATCTCTAAGCAACCCAGCTTTTGAGAAAGCAAACGCCTCTTCGATTTCTGAGCAGGCGCCTCTTCGATTTCTGAAGCTCCGTCGAGTGCAGATTTTTATAGGGGCTGGCATTAAGTTCCAAAGCACACTTGAATCTCCACCAGTAGAAGCTTCATTCTTGCACTTCTAAGATCTTGATTTGTCCGACCTCTTCTCTCTTCAACACCTTTGAAAATTTCTGGCCCCTCCGACCGTCGTTTTGACTTGAACCTTGTTGAAGAGGCAGCCCCGTCTTCTCCAGACAACATATGGCGCCCATCCTTCGTCTCCCCTACTGGTCCTCTTACCGTTGGGGATTTTGTGATGAAGAATGATATGACCGCTGCGGTGGTGGCCAGGAACCTTCTCACCCCCAAAGATAACAGACTACTTTCCAAACGGTCTGATGAGTTAGCTGTTAAGGATTCGCTGGCTCTCAGTGTTCAGTGTGCAGGTTCTGTGTCTAATATGGCCCAACGCCTATTTGCTCGAACCCGCCAAGTTGAATCATTGGCGGCTGAAGTGATGAGTCTCAAACAGGAGATTAGAGGGCTCAAGCATGAGAATAAACAGTTGCACCGGCTCGCACATGACTATGCTACAAACATGAAGAGGAAGCTTGACCAGATGAAGGAAACTGATGGTCAGGTTTTACTTGATCATCAGAGATTTGTGGGTTTGTTCCAAAGGCATTTATTGCCTTCGTCTTCTGGGGCTGTACCGCGTAATGAAGCTCCGAATGATCAACCTCTGATGCCTCCTCCTTCTAGGGTTTTGTCCAGTACTGAGGCTCCAAATGATCCCCCTCCGGTGCCTTCTCTTTCTGGGGCTCTACCGACTGCTG